AGCCTGGGGGTGGGGGCAAGAGGAGTACCGGAATAGGAGCTGATCTGGTCTCGAGTGAGGCGGGGCCTGGGTATCCCTAGCCCCACCACGTGGGACCCTGGCACCATCCTTGACACCCCCCTCCTCCCCACACCCTCCCCTCCGCACCCCAGCGCTGGCCCAGGCCAGCGGCCCTGTACCACCCCCAACTCCACTCACGGCTCGAGTTTGCTCCTGTCTGCTTGTGGGGCCAGTAGCTCTGGCCCGTGTCCCCACGTCCTTCAGGCCTGGCCACCTCTGCCCCGCCCTCACCAGGAACCTGATATCCACTCCCAAATTTGGGTTGAGAGAACAGATGTGGGGCGGCAGCCAGAATCTACCCCCCTTGGTGGTGGGAATCAGGAGTGGGGGGCTGGGTTTCTGCAAGCTGAATATTGCTCAAAGGTCTGGGAACCTGGTGGGGGGCCCAACAGGTCTCACGTGAGGATGGTGGCAATAGAGCTAAAAATAGCCCAATGTAGGGAAAAGGTCATCAGTGTGTCAGCTGTGCCTTCTGTTCCCTGATCTCCAGTGCTCAGGGTTGGGCATGCCCACCCAAGGGCCCTCTTTGTAATCCATTTCTCCCCAGGCCCCCACCCAAGTCCTCCTAGAATTTGTCACTCCTAAGCTGGAGCCAGGGAGGGGGAGAGCAGGGGCTCCAACTGGCAGAATGAACCCGTAACCACTTTCAAGCCCAGATCACCCAACAGCCATGCTTTTCAGGAGAGGAAACAGGCTCCACGCAGTGGTCACTTTGTTAATCTGTGTGCACTCTTTGGTTGGTACTTTGTGCTGTACTGAGTAGGGCTGGGAGAGTGTGAAGGAAGAAGCTAGTTTATTGTCTTAAGGTACACAGCTGTCCAGTTGCCTGCAGTGGGACCACCAAGGAGTCAGCCTCTTTAACCCCAGTCTCACTCAGGGGCTCAGCCCAATCCCCAGGGCCTCCCTTTTGTCCCTCCAAGGTCCTGCCCTGGAGGCTCTGGGAGAAATCCAAGGAGTTGGGGGTGGAGAGTCAGGACGAGGAGTGGAAGTTGGTCAGCTGTCCCTTCTGCTGGAAGTAGAACTGGAACCGAGACTGGGCATACTCCTAGGGAAGGAAACCCACCCCACAGACTGGTGAGAAAGCTTAGGACTAGTACCCCACAGCCCCTCAGTCTGCCCACAGCCACCTGGGACTGCCCACAGATCTGGAGGACCCAAGGCTCCTGCTGCTCCCACCCCCCCAACTCACCCACCTGGGTTACTTACCATGTAACCAAATTCTATAGTGGACATGGATGCCTGGAGGATGGACCAGAGACCCCAAAAGAAATGAGATGCCAGAGCATACCTGACGGGGGCAGGACAAGGGGGTTCAGAGCACATTTGGCATTGCCTGAACCCCTTCCCCGAGGCTGGTCAAGCCTCAAAACCCTAACTTCTCTCCCATCACCCTAACCTCTACCCTGTCCTGATTCTTCCCGCTTTTAAACTTTTCTTCCCCGTCAGCCTCTGACCTGATCCTCGCTTCCTGCTCTCACTGTGCACTGTCACCCCACCTGCAGCCCAGCGAGTCTACCTGCCTCTTCCTCAGCCCCTCTTTCCTCTGCAACCTGCTCTACCCTTGCCTGATCCGTCTTTCCTCACCGATTAACCTCTACCAGCAAATCTGCTTCCAGTTTCTTCTGCTCCTCTGGGGAGATGGTCTCACCTTTCTTTACCTCCGCCAGGTAGTGGCGAATAAAATGGAGCTGAGATGAACAGACAAGAGTCAGGACATGGAGAGACTGAGGAGCATTTCCCAGTAAACACCCTTTCCCACCATTCCTTCCAGACTTCACCTTCCTTCTCCCTCATAGGACAGGTCCAGCTCCCCAGCTCCTGGCCAACATACCTGCTGTCCCCGGGTGGGTAGTTTGCAGGCTGCGCTCTGTAGAAAGGCCATTCCTCGTGAGTATAATCGTAAACCCACTCACAAAAATGATTCCCAATGTCAAAGCCCCTGGGGAAATAAGGTGGACATTCAGTCCCTAAATATGCTGGGCAGCTGGGATGCAGAGATGAAGGTCTGGTCTGCTTTTCCAGGGCACTGTGGGAACGGACCCACGGGAGGCCATCCTCTCACCCTCACCTGTAGTTATAACTGCTGTACTCGAAGTCAACTAGCATGAGGCTGTCGGCATTTTCTGGTTCTGAAAGCAGTAAGATGTTCCCTGGGGGAATGTGGTGAGGTTCTGGTCACTCCGGGGCCCTCTGGTCCCCCTCACCTTAGGTTGGGAGACTCAGATGCCTTCTCCTACCTTCCTGGATATCATTGTGGCAGAAGACCACTGGTGATGGGGTGGAGTCTAGCAACTTCCTGCAGGAGAACAGGGGCATGGGTCTTGAGCAGGGGTGACGAAAGGAGGGTCAGAGCCACTCTTGTGGGCTCAGCTTTGACCGCAGCCCTCAGGAATCCTGGGGAGGACTCCACTAGGTGGCTGGAGTCACCTCCTGTGCTCTTCCGTCCCTCTCCCCACCAACCCCGTCCTGTCTGCCCTCACCTGAGGTTGCCCATCTCAATCTTCAAGTTGTACATCTCCAGCAGGTTCATCTGGGAGAGGCCAGTGGGGGGCAGGTCCTGGATCTGCTTTAAGTACCTGAGGCCCAAAGAATAGGGTACACTCCCTCTGCTGTCCCTCCCCACCCCTCTCCTGTCTACCCCAGGCCAGGCTGTCCCACCCGTCCTGTCACTGCATGACTCGTCTGGCAGTCGTTTGGAAGCCTGTCCTATGAGAGACCAGGATAGACACTGGGACACCTGATCCACTCAACTGGACGCTTGTACAGAGTCATGGATGCATTCAGCCACAGGCTAGCAGAGTAGCTGCCAGCATGTAGGTTCAGCCTGTATGCAGGAGCCCCGAGGAGGCCCCTGACTCACCGCTCCATGGTCCCAAATAGCCAGTGGGGCTCCTTAGTGAAAGGCATCTCCATGCCGTGGAACCGGGCCATCTTCGTGGCGATGGCTGCAGACAACACCGGCTCTCGAAGCTCGTGGGTCTTCAGTGGCCGGCTCTGCACCCAGGAACCTATCAGAGTGTGAAGGGACTGGGGCAGGAGGGGGAAGGGTAGGGGGATGGGGGGTGCAATCAAGGGCTTGGGGAAAATCCCCTACCTGGGGTGAGGGATGTGAAGGCAGACACTGGGAAGGGGGGTAGGGGCTGGGGAAGGAGGTGCTTCGGGGAGGTCAGGGCCGGGCTGAGCTCGTACTGGGATGTACTGTTCCAGCCGGCCCTCTGGAAAGACTCCGTAGAGCTGGGGCCCCAGCGACCGCTCTGCAAGGATGGCGAACATCACACTTTCAAGGACTAAGGAGTCCACGCCCTGAAGGAAGATGGACAGCGAAGGGGCCACAGTCACGAGGGGCCAGAGGCAAAGTGGCGCCCACACACAGAAGGGTCTGCTTTCTCCTCCCACCACAGCGGGGACTTCCTGTCCTATAGCCTAAGACTCCAGGGCTCAGGCTTTGGTGTCGAAATGGGCAAAACACTAAGCCCCTGAGCCTCAGTGTCCTCAACCGCGCAGCGGGGACAATAACCACCTGCCACACTTAAGTGAGACGGCTAGGGCCACTGGCCACTGCGGCGCTCACTCCCTCCTCACCTGCAGGATGGCCCCATACAGCCGCAGCAGCACCTCCCGGGGCTCCTCGCCGACGCTGGACAGGTGGTCCGGCAGCGAGCAGCGGAAGAGCAGGTTACTGAGGCCTCCGCTGCAGATCCACAGCAGGGCGCGCTCAGCCCGCGGTCCGCTCCAGCAGCCCCGCATCCAGCCCTCGCGCCCTGGGATCCCCTGCCACTCACGGCCCCGCCACACCCCCCGGCCACAGGAACGCAGAGTGTCCCGAGGGCCGGACCTGGCCCTAACCCCGGCCCGCGCACAGGAGGGGCTGACCCCTGACCTCCCACCTCACGGGGTCAACCCTCAGCTCCTCCGGCCGCACTCGGCGCCAGGCCCCGCCCAGGTACTCCCGGCACCACTGGTAGGCTCGGCGCTCGGCGTCTCGCGACCGCACCGAGTCGCGCCGTCGGTTCGGGGCCGTGTCGGGGCATTTCGACGGCCGCAAGCTGTCCTTAGCCAAGCAGCCTCCGACAGCCCCACCTTCGGCCACAGCAGCCCCCTCGGCCGCCATGGCGCGGGCTCAGCCGGGCCCAACACCTTGCCGCGCTCGGCTCCTTCCGGTTGCGCTCGGCTCCGCTTCCGGCCAGCCTACGCTTCTCGGGTCGTACTCGGGTCTCTCAGGCTCTATTCGGCTCTTTGCGACTCTGCTCTGCTCTCTAGGAGACCCTGTTCCGGGTGCTATTTCCGAAGGCTGTGTCCCGCCCCGCTTGGAGAGAAGGCCAATGGCCTCTCTCTATGGGTGGGGCCACTCGAAAGACACGTCGCTGTTTGGACTGTAACCCGGAAACAGGAAATAGTGCAGTCCAATCAGAAGCGCCGTGAGCGGTCAGGCTCGCGGCACAGCCCCGTGTCACGTGGGCGGGTGGCCGGTCCGCTGCCGGGTGTCCGGGGGGAAATGCCGGTGAGGCAAAGTGGGCCTTCGCCAGGGTCGCGGAGCGGACTGGACAACGCAGGCAGGGCGGCAGAAGCCCTGTCACTGGACAGATTTGGCCCCCGGAACAGTCGGAAGGAAGACTGTTGAGTGTGTGGCGAGTCCTGAGTGTGAGTGACACCGGGGAGGGAAGAGTGTGTGTGACTCACATCTAGGGGTGGAGAATGTAGGTGCCAGATTTGTTGATGAGTAACCTTAAATCCCGAATCACCGCTGAGACTCCCTTGCCAGTTGAAGCGCACCTCTGAGAGGAGGCTCTTGTTACCCTGCTTGAAACTAATGTCTCCAAGCCCCAGTCCACTACCCTTCTGGCCTCCAGACATAAAATCTGTTACAAAATCTACTCAGGAGGAGAGGCTCACACCCTGGAGCTGACCCCTGGGGCTGCTTCACGTCTCTTCCCACTGGGGCAGTGTGAAATGCCTCCTTGCGTTTCTTCTGCTCCAAGCTGGAGTGGCAACCAGGAAGACTTGACCCACGGGCATCTCAGTGTTCTTTGGGGTAAAACAGATGGGCAGCTGACGAGTGGTGTTTGATTTGAATAATAAGAAAGAAACCAACTATTAGTGATCAGAAGGTGAAAGTCAGTTGCTGCAGCAGAAAATCATGATTGCTCATTCTTTACTTAAATTTGAGCCAGTTCTGAGACCTGGACTGGAGCCCACTGGTTGAAAGGGAGGCTTGATCCCCTACAGAAAGGATCCTGCAATGCCACCATAAGCACATAAAAAATATTTCTCCAGTCCTTCCCCAAGGGACCTATTGCCTCTTGACAAAGGAAGGAATTTAACTTTGAAAAAGAGACTACCCAGATCTTTCAAGGGCTGTTAGGTGTAAGATATGAACTGATGGTGTGTGCCAGGGTGCATGAAGCCACTGGTTTGGGTAGGGGCTATGGAAGTCAGATGATAAATGGAGTCCTGACCCAAGTCTTGTGGTCACTTCTCTGGTCCCAGTGCATACTTTGGATAATTATACCCAGCAGTGGGCAGAGCCTGCATATTGCTCCCTGACTTGTGGAATAAAAATCATAGCAGGAAGCGTGGGAGCCTCTGAAGCTCCCATCCCCTCCAACAGTGGGATCCAGGTGGGGTTGCAGAGACTGCTCACTTACAAAGATATAAATCCCCGTTATTTCCTCTTCAGTTCACCTGTATGGCCCTTGCAAAATCCAGATGGATTCAAGAAAATGATGGTGGACTGCCACAAACTTAGCTAAATAGCACCCCAGTCAGCAGCTGTGTCAGTTGAGACATCTGTACTGAAACTGATAATGCACTTCTGACACTTGATAATGCAATGGATGTGAACATGCTTTTCAGTTTCCAGTAGTAAAGTACATTTCCAAGAGCAGTTTACTTTCATGTGGGGAGGACAGCCAAACATACACATTGTCTTGTTTCAAGGCTGTTTTAACTTGTGCCTTCTGTCGCAGTGCACTCCACTGAGACCTTGAACACCTGGACATTCTGCATAACATTGATGACATCATGCTAACTGGACACGGTGAAGAAGGAAATGACAAATCACTGTCCCAGGTAAGACAGTGCATGTTGGAGGATGAGAGATAAACCCTCAGAAGTTCTGGAGCCTGTCATCAGTGAAGTTTCCAGGGGTACAATGTTGTAGGGCAAAGCAGGGCACCACCTCTAAGGTAAGGACACATGATTGCCTCTTGCATCCCTATCATGAAGAACGAGGCCTATCACTTGATGCACCTCTGGATTTTGGGGTCAGCATGTACCACACTCAGCAGTGCTGTTCTGACCCATTTATTGGGTGACTTGGAAGACTGCCAGTTTTGAATGGGGCGGAGAGAAAAGGAAGGCTCTGGTGAAGATCCTGATTGGAGGATGGGTTCCCCTGCCACATGGCAGAACCAGTGGGTTACGGTGGGCTTATTTGTGGTAAATAGGGACCCTGTGTGGCACCTTTGGCAGGTTCCAACAGGAGATTTGCAGTGCAGACACTGGGATTCTGAAGCAAGACCATGCCTGCTGCAATGAAGAACTACTCAGCAATGGAAAGCAGCTTCTGGCACAAGACTGGTCCCAAATAGAGACTGCCTGCCTGATTATGGGGCATCAAATGACCCTGTGACCACATCTGCCTGTCCTGAGCTAGGTATTGGCAGGTCCACCAAACAAATAGGTTAAGCAGGCTCAGTAGCAATTCACTGCACAATGAAACAGGATTAGACCTGAGCCTGTCCAGAGAGCACTGGTCATTTGTAGAGGCTACTGTGGCCCCCACATTGCCTACTTTGTTGTACCAATGCTTCTCTCTTAGCAGACAGCAAGAAAAATTTAGGTCTGGCTCACAGATGGGTCAGCTTGATGTGCTGATAAGAGCTGAAAATGAACTGCTGCTGCACTACCATCCATTCAGGGTGGCTCTAAAGGACAGTAATGAGGACAATTCCTCCAGGGAGCAGAGCTTTAGGCAGCACACTTGGATACCCACTTTGTGGGGAAGAGCAGGGAGGAGTGGACAGAACAGGGGCCTAAGGAAGATGTGCACTGAACTTCTGGGTCGAGACAGATGTCTTGCTGCTTAGTCAGGGATCTGGGAAGAGCAGGAGGGGAATATTGGAGACAGGGAGGTCTGGGAAAGAAGAGGGACCTATAGGAGTGGTCACAAGTGTGTGCATCTTTGTGCCTCATGTTAATACCCATTGCAAAGAGGTCACTGAGCAGCAAAGTGAATGGATGCAGCCAGCTTCTGTCCTTGGCTACCCTTATGCTTGTAAGGTGGACCCATGAATGGAGTTGCCATGGTGGCAGTCTGTGCCCACCAACATGGACTCTCTTACCAAGGCTTATCTATCTGCCTATGAATCTTACTGCCTATGAATGTCTGACCTGTTAGCAGCCAAGATTAGTGCTGAGCTCCTGATATGGTACCATTCCTAGATGACTCAGGGACAGGTTGGTTACAGCAGATCCTTTCCACCCAGGAGAGATTCATCCTTGCTGGAATTGACACCTGCTCTGGATATGCGTTTGCCTTCCTTATCCACAAGGTCTCAGAGTAGCATCACTGTCAGGCAGCTGAGAGGATGCTCAATTTACCAACACAAGATCATGTGTAGCATGTATATGTATATATGTGTAAATGTATAACCTCGGGCCAAGAAACTCATTTTACGGTGAAGCGCACAACAATGTGTGGATTGCCACAGGACCACTGCTTCTCCAATATCCTGTGTTACCTACAAGCAGCCTGTCTCATGGAAAGAAGGAATGTCCTCACAAAGACTTAGCTAACGTCCCAGCTCTAGGGCAGTATCCGGAGAAGCTGGAGTATATACACAACTCAGAGCCTAGCGTATGGTTCCCCAGGAGATAAAATACATGGATCCAGGAACAAAGTCACAAGTCCAAGAACCCAGGGGTTGGTATTAGCTGTCCCCCGCAATTGTTCTCAGTAATCCACTTGTACAAGTTGCACATTCTGTCTCTGCAACATTAAACCCTGCTGAATTAGACCTCCTGGCTCCCTGGTGGGGAGCACTTCCATGAGGGGACTTCCACTGATTCTAGGGGAGGACACCTCCACTGAACCTGAATCTGCAAATTCCAGCAGGTCATTTTGAGCTCCTCATGGAGAACCAGCAGGCAAAAGAGAAAGGGATAATAGATCCTGATTATTATGAGTAGATAGGGTTGCTACTACTTCATAAGGCAGTCAGGAGTTGGTCTGGCCTGTAGAGTTCACCTGGTTCTGTCTGGTTGCTTCCATGCCACGTGGTGACAGCAGCCACAGCCTGCCAAAGACAAGGCAACCAAGGGCTCAGAACCCTCAGGGATGAAGGTCTGAGTCATCCCTCCAGGAAAGCCATATAGACCAGCTGAAATGCTGGCTGGTGGTGAGGGAAATCTAGAGGAGGAGGTAACCAGTATCAGTTACAGCCTCAGGAACAGGTGCAGCAGTGGGGACTCTGTTTGTTCTACTAACGCTCTTGTGTTAAGGCTTTTGTAAATGTGACCTTCGAGACTTTGGCTCAAAAAATCATGACAACGTGGACTTAGTGTGGTGCCTGAGTAGATCTATTGGGTGCAAGGTCTGGTGTCTTGACTGATGCCTTCAGCACACCTTTAATTGCAATGGACTTACAGAGCTGCATCTCTGGCACCTGCTGTGTATCTTTGCATTTTCTGCCCAGGCCTTCTCTGACACAGCAGGAGCCCACTTGGTCTGCTTACCAGCACAGTCTAGGTCCCTGGGGGCAACTTCAGGGACTGGAGACTGGCGTCGGTGGATGAGTAGTTGGACAATCCTAGGAGGCACTCTGTACACTTATCAGGAGGTCGTGGTGAAGTCAAGGTGCTGTTAGCCAGAGCAGAAACCTCAGGACCGTGCTATGTTTTGATTCCTCCGTTTCTGTCTCACTCTTCCCCTACTCCATTTATGTTTCCTGGAATCACTTCCTGAACAAACCACTTATACCTAAGTCTTTGGGCCTGAAGTCACTGTCACTGGGCTGAAATTGTTGTGTTGGTAAGGCTGCACTCTCTCTGGAGGCTCTAAGGGAGGATCCACTCCTTGCTGCTCTGGTAGATGCGGGCTTTACTTAGCATGTGTCTGCATCACTCGTCTCTGGCTCCATGGCCGTCATTGCTTCCATCTCTCCTGTCTGTGCAATCTCCCTCATTCTCTCTTATAAAGATGCTGCGATGGTATTTAGGGCCAACCTGGATAATCCAGGATAATCTCTTCATTGCAGAATCCTTGATTTAATCAAATCTGCGCACATCCTTTTTCCAAATAGGGTAACACTTACAGGTTCCAAGCGTTAGAACATGGATATCTCTTGAGAGACCATTTTTTTCAGCCTACCAGAGTCACGAATTCTTCCTCTCACAGCTTTCAGCTTATCAATCCATTGTGTCCCAGTCCTTGAATATTGCAGTCAAACAGTTCTGAGCCCAGCCTAATTTTTCTCCTTGGACAGAATTTAATTTTTCTGACTAAATACTTGAAGAAGTATGGTATATGCATGAGGGAATGATTTATTTATTTATTCACTTAAAATGATAATAAGCCCTCGGATGTTAGCATAAATAACTATTTTATAAAATAAAAATTTGATGAGAATAGTGGCCTTCTCTTTACATTTTTGTAAGTTTCTTTATTGCCTGCTTAGTTGGAGACAGCTGGTCCCCATAGCTGCTTCTGCAGTCAGTCTCTTCCAATGTATTGTTTTAGTTGAAACATGAAGAAAATCCAGCCTCACTTAGATTTGTAGTTGGAAACCTTTTCAATTGGCTTTTTTAGATAAATGTGGATCTTTGTTGATAGTACACCAAGACTTGATGAGAGACAGTTTCTTAAAGGTTAGTTGCAGTTTGGACTTTGAAACCATATCAATGAACTTTTTCATGCTCTGTTGCATTAAAGTCCATTGGTCTGTCTTGCGTGTTGAGTGGGTCTTTTAGTCATTCATAATTTTGAAGCATCATGCATTCGTTGGTCATTTGGATGATGCTGGTTCACTGAGTTATGTAGATCTTACAAATTTTGACAGATTTTATTATATATTTTAAAAATCACAATTGTTAATGCCACCACCAATCTAATCAGAAAAACATATAAATATTGGGAAACTTTAAGCTCACGATGATGGACACAGGTTTTCCAAAAACCTAATTTTTTCTTAAAAGCAAAAATGTTATCATTGGCAGCAAATACTATCAGTTGTTTTCCTTGAAGTAACATGCCCACTTTATTCATTTTGGAGAGTGTTTGCCAAATACCCAAGTCAGAATAACCATTATTTGTCAGTTTTCTTTCAAATAAAAATAGTTTCATGGAGTGATGTCAGCAAGAAGGCAGAGGGAGAAATTCCCTGTCTCTCCTCTTCAATTTACAGCCAATAAAACATTCACAATGCCAAAAAAGTTACCTCTGTCCAGCACACCAGGATGCTGGAGAATTCTACACTTCTGTGCATCTAAAGGTGGATGGACTAGAACCCTTAGAGGTGGTGGAGCTGGGGGAATAGTGGAGGCAGTGCCTATAATCCTGGATTCCCAGCTGCAGCAGCTGAGCCTGCAGCCTCAGATAACTTGGTAGTAGCAGGGGAGGTGGCACACACAGCTCCATACTCCCAGTGACAGTGGCAGTCACAGGTAACTAGCAGCAGTGGCAGTGAAGCCTAGGATTCCATGTCTTCAGCTTCAGAGGTGCCCATGACTCTACCTGCAGCATTCCCCCTACCTGAACCAGCAGATCCTGTGAACCATACAACAGACATGGCAGAGACAGCTGTGCAACACTGGCTACTTCCCACCTAATCCCTCCCCAGTGATGGCAGAGCTGGAGCCCAGGGGATCCCAGACCCAATGGAAGAGCCCACTATCCTGGTGCCCAAGGCAGCAACACCAGCAACACTGGCAGCAGCAAGGTACCAGTCACACCAGGGCTACAAGAAGCAATAACGAGGGCACAGGGGTGATGCTCCTGACAGAGGTGGCGGTGGGTAGAAAGTACTGACTCTCAAACATAGCCAGAGGCAGTTCAGAATCAAACAGAAAGG